ATTCCATCATTCGATCTGATTTGGTCACTAAAGAGGTAAGGCCTTTACCTGGAGCAAGGTTGAGGACATCAACTGGTGAGGACACCCAAGTTGTAGGAGAGGTAACCTGCAAAGTCGCAATAGGGAATGTGACGGTGTTACAAAAGTTCATAGTAGCGGATATTGTTGATGAAGTCATCATTGGAATAGACTTCTTACTTGATCAGGGTATGCAGATCAACATGAAGAACAGGATTATGACGTATAACAACATGTTAGGTTTGGGTATGATGGCCCGTACAGCAGCAAGCGAGTGATCCTAGAGGAAAGCGAGCAGATTCCACCGAAGTCAGAAGCAGTTGTTTGGGCGAAGATTGATGGAGATTGTGGGATAAACAAATTGTGGGTTGTTGAAGCAACACAAAATTCTACACCGGACGTACTTATTGGTAAAACCCTGGCTAAGACGCAAAAATATGGACGCATCCCAGTTCGAGTACTCAATGAGTTCAAATCACCAATCAAGTTTAAGAATCCAGCAGGACAACTAGCTCGGTGGATTGAGAGACTGCAAATTTATGACTTCGCTATTGAGTACCGCAAGGGAAGTGTCCACGGAAATGCTGATGCCATGTCCCGTCGACCATGTAGTCTGGAATGTAAACACTGCTCAAAAGCTGAGGGCAAAGAGGGCATTATAGACGTCCGGCTAACGACAATAACACCAGCGGAAGAGTGGAAGGAAGCACAGCTACGAAAGTGTCAGCAGGATCCAGATCTGGAGCTTTTGATGCATGGACTGGAGGAAGACAGAAGGCCAACTAAGGAGCAAATGGCAGCGGAAAGCCCAATCGCAAAGGCATACTGGGCACAATGGAACAGCTTAAAGTTGATATCTGGCTGTTTGCACAGGGTATGGGAAAGTGAAGATGGGCAGTGCTCCCGCAACCTAATAGTAGTTCCAAGGGTATGAATTCCGGACGTTCTCAAGGAATTTCACAATGGTCCTAGTGGAGGGCACTTGGGAATCACGAAGGCCCTGGAGAAGATCAAGCAGAGGTTCTATTGGGTTGGTTGTCGGCAATCGGTCGCAGAGTGGATTGCTAACTGCGCGGAGTGTATTGCAGCTAAAGGCCCGAAATCCAGAAGTCATGGCCAGATGAATCAGTATAATTCAGGTGCACCATTCGAGCGGATTGCCATGGATGTAGCCGGTCCATTTCCTATGAGCGCACAGGGAAAAAAATATGTCCTTGTGGTTATGGACTACTTTAGCAAATGGCCGGAGGTATACCCGATTCCAAACCAGGAAGCTAAAACAGTAGCGGAGGTATTCACCTACAATTGGGTTGCGAGAAACGGTGTACTTATAGAGCTGCACTCTGACCAGTGAAGAAATTTAGAGTCGGCGGTGTTCCAAGAGATGTGCCAGATACTGGGTATCCGGAAAACTCGAACAACGGCTCTTCATCCCCAATCAGATGTCATGGTGGAACGGTTCAACCGAACCCTGGAAGAGCATTTGCGGAAGGTCGTGGACAAGAATCAAAAAGATTGGGATGTCCGCATACCCTTGTTCCTGATGGGATACCGGTCAGCAGTGCATGAAACAACGGGTAAAACTCATGCAAGGGTAATATTCGGCAGTGAGCTCCGTTTGCCTAGTGACCTGAAGTTTAGGGTAACTGGTGATGCTAGAAGAATTGGAAAAGAGACGTCAAACATCCTGGAAAAGGAGCTGAGAGAGATACATGCTCTTGTGAGACAGCGCACGCAAATTATGAGTGACAAGATGAAAGCCAGGTATGATAAGGCGATGAATTCCGAGGGTTTTCAGGAAGGAGATTTAGTGTTGTTGTACAATCCACAACGGAAGAAAGGTTTGTACCCAAAACTACAATGCAACTGGGAAGGTCCGTATAAGGTCGTAAAACGGCTAAATGACGTAGTGTATCGGGTCCAGACCGTTGGGAGACCAAGAAACAAGATGAAGGTGGTCCACTTGGAAAGGCTTGCAGCGTTTGGAACAGCAAGTGTGTCTGATCGGGACAATCAGACTTAGGTGGAGGACAGTGTGGCGAATACTCCGGCAACGCGAAGCGAACAACGAGAAATAGGCAGAATGTTCGAGGAATGAAGTATAATGTTCCACAAAGAGACGCGTCAAGTTGGATGAACACTGCGAACAGCGGGAGAAAGAGAATGAGCGATGAACTTCAGAACATTCTAGAGTTGCCATGAGTGCGAGCGCAGATATATAAGAGCCACCACACAGCGGAGTGAATTAGTTACAAGTCAGCAAGCTACAAGTAAAGTGAGTTGCGAATAAGCAAGCTATAATTTTAATGGTGTTAACAAGTTTTGTAAAGCGTTGTAATTGCTTTAACGAGTATTGTAAAGTGTTTTACGGTTTTAGAGAGTATTGTAAATTGTTTGTTGTACAATAAAGTTAATTGTACTACAATTTGGTCATCGTGAGCATTTATTTAACCATCCAGAGATAAGCCGGAGGATATTTGGGAAATCCCTCAAGGTTTCGAGGATAATCGTAACAGTATATACATGACTTTTCGACAGGGGCGGATACAGGATTTTATTTGAGGGGGGAGGGGTAGGTATTGGGATCAACTTGTCAAATAACGTTAAATTACAGGCATTTAACCCTAATTTATTTTTCATGCAAATATAGGTTTGAGTATCTTTATGAAGTGTGAAGTAAAGTGTTTTGTGATATAATATTACTTTTCATTTTGTGAATTTGGTGCAAGGTCTAATAAAACAATTGCATGTACTATTTAAAAAAAAAAACACAAGATGTAAAGTTATACCTTGGGTTTATTAATGCAATATATACATATAAATAATTATTTCATGCTTACAATGTTGGTAAAATGAAGGATGTAATTAAGTAACTTAACAACTTATTCAGAATTTTTATTGTAATAATTTAAATTGCAAATTCAATTTTGCGTTTTACTTTTGCGAATCTTTCTATTATCCTTTCAGTGTCAATTTCAATATCTAAGTGTACGTGTAAAAGTACTGGACCGATCAGTCTTTCTTCATTCATGGTACTACGCAACCATGTTTTTAACCGACGAAGGGTTGAAAAACTTCTTTCGGAAGTAGCGTTACTAGCTGGAAGTGTGACTAGAATGCGGAGAAGTTTGTTAACTAATGGAAAAGCATATTCGTCGCATTTACCAAGAACTTCTGCTGCTGATTTTGGGAATGGCTTTTCGCTTTACTTATTATCTACATACCCATTGTTTTAATTTTTCACGTTGACGAAGAGTTTTACACGATTTCTTATTCTATAAATAATCTTGTGCAAGCCTAAAAATGGTTACGATTGAAAATTGAAATAAAAACAAAACTTTAGAATTTTTTTTTCAAATTTCTCGTTTGAGGTAATATGTATTATCCGAAATTTTGCTTTTTCGGGCTCTCGCCTTCCCCCCTGTACCCGCCACTGCTTTTCGATAGGTCTGATAGTTTCTGACGAATTAATTAATCATTCCAGATTTTTTATTATGAAAATATGATAAAAACACTTTAACAGAAGAAAAATTAAAAAAATCACGGGTTCTGTGTTAAATTTTTGCCTTTGTGCTAAAGCCTGTTCTGTTACAAAAAAATCAAGTTGCTAATGAAGAAAATCGATGGATAAATAAAGAAGTAATGAGTGGTCAAATGAAAATGCGCAAAGATTTTTTTTATGAAATATGAGCATAAAAGCGTGGCTACTTAGGTGTACATGGCGTATGAGTAACATTATTTCCTGCTCATTTCTCATACAAAAAATCTTTGCGCATTTTCATTTGACCCCTCATTACTTCTTTATTTATCCATCGATTTGCTTCATTAGTAACTTGATTTGTTTGTAACAGAACACGCTTTAGCACAACTGCAAAAATTTTACACAAAACCTGTTAGTTTTTTAATTTTTCTTTTGTTAAAATCTTATTTTTTTATTTTTTTCATTAAAAAAACTGGAATGATTAATTAATTTGTCAGAAACTATCAGTCCTATCGGAAAGTGACGTACAGACGGTTTATGGAAAATTTTGTAAGCTTTCATTTGTCGTATTCCATGTTCAGTTTGTTAAATTGGTTAATTAGATATATGTAAGTGACTAAGTGGAACCACCTTTTGTTTTAAGCTGAATAACGGTAAATTGAAAATATCTCGAAAACCTACCCATAGAATAAAAAATTAACACGATTTTTGGAATCAGCGGGCGATTTTACATACAAATTGGATAGTGGGATCCAGTGTAATATATGTACAGAATTATTTCAAAATTAAATTTTTTTTGGGAAAACGCAAAGTTTGATAAATTCACACAGTTGTTAGTATACCAAAAGACAGATGAAAAGACATATATCTTCGCCATTTTTGGGAAGTTTAGTCATCTGTTAGGCTGAGCATATTCTACTTATCAAGCTTGTTAATTGCATAATGAAATCTCCAAAAGCGTAAATTTTGAGTTACATCTCTATATTATTAAACTTGCGACATATCACACATTTTCTTCTCCATTGTACACTTCCGCGGATATTCCTGCAAGAAATATTGAATAAACGCGGATTATCCTATCAAATTTGCACGAATATTATCATGAAATCATTAATATTCAACTTTTTCTAAATACTCAAACGTAATTGTAGAAAATGATAATTTCAAAACGGCAAGCGCCCTACAAACGGAGTGCTTTATCCGCAAGAAAGTTTGGAAAAAGGTGGATTTTGTTTTACAGTGTTATGCGTCCAATACAGATGAATACGACTGTGCAATAGCTAAAGTAATTTTATACTCAGTTTATCTTTTTATATTTTTAATAATAAGTCTGTAATAGGCATTCATATACATACTATACATAAACAAATAATTTAAAAAAAAATGTGGGTAAGCGTGACATGCGAGTGTGATTTTCTACCCGCTTGTGAATTTTTTAATATAATATTTAAAGAAAATTGAAAAAATTTGCACAACCTAATGTACGCTTATTTATTTCCAGTTGAAATTCACCACTCTACACTCAGTCGATACTGAATTTTCGGCTGATTCTATAGAATGGTGCCCTCATCCAAACTTTCAATCTTACTTTGCGTGCGGCACCTATCAACTAGAAGAGCACTCCAGCAACAATATCGCAATGCGCAGTAGACGAAAGGGACGTATATACCTGTATAAGTTCTGTACATCTACCAAGCGCCTGATTGAAATGCATCGAGTGGAAACGGCTGCTGTTCTTGACATGAAATGGCTTGTCGGGCAGGCAAATGAAAATCCGCTATTGGGTGTTGTTGATTCCTTCGGTCAACTTCAGCTTTATGAATTGGAAAATTGTGTATTAAAAATGACTGGGACCTTAGAACTAAATCCCGATATTGATGATATATTGGCATTGTCCTTGGATTGGCGACATTCGAGAAATTCAGTGACCAGTCAATTTCAAATATTGGTCTCGGACTCCAAGGGGGGGCGTAAACCTAATCGATTACGAGCCAGAGTGTGAACTCAAAAAGTCGGTTGTGTTTGCAGCACATGGGTTTGAGGCATGGACGTGTGCTTTCGATAAATGGGATTCCAACTGTATTTACAGCGGGGGTGATGATGTGCTCCTACTAGCTTACGATCTGCGATCCGGAACGTGCATTTTCACCAACAAATCGCACAATGCCGGAGTAACATGCCTGCTCAGCCATCCATTACGTGAGCACCTATTGTTGACGGGCAGCTATGACGAGCATCTGCGTACGTTCGACACACGCTTAATGAAACAACCTTTGGGAGAACTGAACCTGGGTGGAGGAATATGGCGCCTTAAAGCCGATCCATTTAAGTGTAATCTTATCTTAGCAGCTTGCATGTACCACAATTTCAGTGTCGTTCAGCTTGTTGATGGACTTGTGGATGGGCCTAAACTCATTGGTGAATACTATGAGCACAAAAGTATTTGCTACGGCGCAGATTGGTGTCGCCATGTGGACGATAATCAGGATTTGTACACTGCAACTTGTTCATTTTACGACCACAAGCTTTGTGTGGCTCAGATAGACGAGGAAGATCGCTAGTGGAAACTGGAGTTTTGATTTATAAATACCTGATTTCAATACAAACATCTTGGAACTCAAAAATATCGTTGCCAGCTTCGAATGCTGCACTTTGATGGTTCGAAATCAGCTGGCGCAAAGGAAGGAATAGCGAAATAATAGGCCATATACATATATGAATAAAAACTACGATTATTTCCTAATAAATTTTTATTTAACTAATGTTTCCTCACTTTATAAAAAATAGTCATTTATTTATTTGCTTCCAGTAGATCAATGTACATACCCAGATGATTGCCAGCATTTCTTTTTCATTTGCGGCATAGTTCTCCTCGGTTTTAATTAGGGATCGGGATATAAAGGTTATTGGTTTACCTGCTTGCTCGAGGACGGCTCCTAGAGCGTAGTTGGATGCATCGGTGGTAAGATGAAACTCCTGTTTGAAGTTTGGGTAGGCTAGCACGACTTCCTTTGATACTAATGAAGATTTAATTCTATTAAAAGCCTCTAAGGCGTTTTTATCGAGCACAACTAGCTTTTTGCTTGAGGAATTTTTGGACACGCGTCCATCTTCCCCTCTCAAAAGCGACGTCAGAGGTTTCGCTAACTTGGCGTTATCTCTGATGAAGCGTCGATAATAGCCTGACAGGCCAAGAAAAGCCCTCAAGTCCTTTAGTGTTCTTGGACACGGAAATTCTTGAATTGCTTTTACTTTAGTGGGATTAGTTAGAATCAGACTAATTAAGGAAGAGCTAATTAATATAAAATATGCCGTTCAATGGGCAAAGCATAATATAATAAATTCAGTAATGTTAAGCAAGGAAGAAATAGATATGTGAATTAGTAAATTAAGAGAAGACGAAGTACCATTTAAAAGTGCCGAAAAAGCACTAGAACTATCAAAAGTAAATGTATTTAGCCAAGATATGAAAATTTTATACATGGTAAAAATACCTCTAACATTAAAAGAAACATTTAGAAGAATTATTATACGACCTGTAAAAAGGATAAACAATGTTGTAATTAAAACCGAGTATAATGAAATATTAAAAGGAAAAGATACACTGTTTGGAATAAAAAAATAAATGCGTAAGCTATAATGATGTAACAATTTTCAAGGAAACTAATTTGGTAAGTAACGATTTATGTGTAACTAGGATAATTAATAGTTTAAACTCAACATGTTCGACAACCAACGGCCATCACTTCCCTACGCTAGAAGAAATAAAACCAGGGGTAATATTGCTAAACCAGTTCAACGGCAAACTAGAAGCCGACGACACATCTCAAGAAGTAAACGGAACGCACGTGATAATATTTCACAATTCAACAATTAAAATCAACAGTCAAACATTCAGTAATATTGAAATAAAGCCAATCGAAACCATCCCTGCCAGTGTTTAAAAAACTTAAGTCGAAGTAGCAAAAGTAATAAAATTTTCGCTTCTCACTGCTTCGACTTATTGTAACTGTTCAAAATTTACTTATTGCTTGTGCTTACGCTTATGAGACAAGACGACAGTCGCAGTCGAAGCTCAAGCAAAAA